TCCGCTTACCGCTGTGGTGCAGCACCACCCACGAGCTTCCGTCTTTGCAGAAAACCCACAAAGGCTTGCGCAGCCGCGACTCTTCTGCATGCTCCACAATTTGTCTGATTCCAATTTCTCCCTGGTAAGACTGGACCTGTGGCGCAACTGAAGCAAAATAATTTGCAGCAGATGCAATCACTTCCAAATCACCCGGCTCAGTGGTGATTTTTGGTATATTTCCAATACAGGCCCCTCAAGTATGTCCACAATTTTGCAAATTTTTCAAATCTCTGCAAATATGGAAAAAGTTACCAGATTCGTGCCTGTCTGCTTTACAGGATTAAAAGATCAGGCAGAATGATTGCAATTGCATCTTTCGGCGAGTTTTTTTAAGCGATGGAATACCCGAATTATCAGAAAAGAAATTTTCAATAATTTTCAAAATCAAACAAATAGAGGAAAATTTTACAAGATAGGAAAGATCCAGCCTTGTGGATACAAACAGAGCAAAGAAATACACACAGCTTTTAAATTCAGAAGGTTTCTGGCCTGCATTCGGCAAATTTTTACCAATTCGCAAATATTTCAATTTTTTTTGAATTTTGCAAAAATACCCAAATTCTTCTTTAATTTATGGACTTCACCACTAAAGGAAGCATATACATGATATATATTATGAGTGTGTTGATCATCCGCGTACTATATTGCATTTTATGAATTAATTTCCACGCGGGCAAATTTTTCATTTTTTTGGATGTTGAAAATTATCAAAAATATTGGCGCAATATAGTAAAAACATTCCAGCCAATGGAAAGAGAATGCAAAACTATATGGTGGCCCTGTTGTATATCTATGCCATGGACGCTCTTTGGCGATATTCACCACCGGGAGACTTTTTCAATTTTTGGAAATTTTTGAAAATTAGGGAAAGTCAGCATTTATGGAGCCAATCAGAGCCACAAAATACAGCAAACACAGAAAAACACAAACAGGAGTGCGCTATTTTGATTTTTATCCCAAAGTACCGCGGCCGAATCCCCTCTAGCTGAGTTTGCGAATTGCCAAGCACGCTCCCCTTCCCCCCACCATCCTTCTTCCTCCCCCCCCCCCCCTCCTCCTCCCACTCCTAACAACGATGGAGAGGGCACCGAGTAGCCATAGAATAGCAACAGCTTGCCCCTGCGGCCGCTCCATAACTGCGCAAGCCATAACCATGACACACGCGGGCGCGGGCTACGAAACAAATGGAACGGGTCACAAACCCATCCGGGGCCCAACACCCGGGCCGACCTTTTGCCGTATCGGCGCGCGGCCCGCAGCCAGCAACACAAGGAAGCGGCGCGCCGAAAGTTTTTAGAGCGCCACGAATCGACTCCCCCCGCGACGGGGCGCGAAGCGCAGGAAGTTCGCCAATATTCCACACCAGTGGCGAAATAGTTGCGCGCGCCCTTGCTGTCGCTTTTGGTATTAATACAAGGGGGAACCCGGTACCCCGGACCAGATACCCGCGGCCACATACCCTGGGACCAGATACCCTGGGACCATATACCCAGGGAACAGGTCCCCAGACAACAACCCTGCCCCCGCCAAACTGTCTCGACTTTGGGCCCACATCGTGGGCATGCATTCGCGTCTGGGTACCGGTTGCCCACATCAGGGCACTCGCGTCTGGGTACCCGGGCCGGTATCCACATCTGCGCACCGGGGGCCCCCCTCCGGGCACCCCGGTCCGGAGATGTGCCCACCCGGGTGCCCCGATGTGGATATCCAGATGTGAAACCACTTGACTTTTTGTGTGGCTCTCTGCTGACTAAAATCGAAAAGTTGGGCGCCCACATCCGGACGCGAGGTCCCCACATCCTGACACTCACATCTGGGCACCGGGCGGGTGCCCACAAACACAGGCGATACCCACATCTGGGCAGCAGATGCGCACATTCGGGCACCGCTACCCACATGCGGCCTTCTACCACATCTGCGTACCGGATGCCCACACCCGGGAACCCGGGCACGGAGATGTGGGCAACCGGTGCCCAACTGTGGGCGTCCAGACTTGAAACCGCTTGAGTTTTCGCGTGGGTTTTTGTTCCATCCAAAATGTAAAACAAAGACGCGGACGCCCCGGTATCCAAATCGCCGGCCCGGGTGCCCACACCCGGATGTGGGTACTCGGGTGCCAGGTCCCGGGTACCTGCTCCCAGGGCACCTGGTTCCTACCTCTACCATTCCATCCTATTCATAACTTCGGTCGGATGTCAATACAGAAACCCCACAGCTGTATGCAATTTCTCGAATAATTGTTTTCCTTTCCTCTTCCAATTCCATGGAATTCAATCAGAGACTATAATGAAATATATCGATCACATTTCGGATTCCCATTCGGACATAGAGTCCTTACATGGACCAGGATATATTTGATTCATTTTGAAGCGAATTCCATCCGAATAGATTTTTATTTCTCCATTTTGGATCGAATACCATCGGAAATCCGAATCGGAATCAGAATCATACCCATCTACTTTCTATCGAATTCCATCGGCGAAACAAATCGGAATCAGATTAAATTTATCCTATTTTTTTTTTTTATCTTTTATCGGAATCCATTGAGGATGGAATTCGAATCAGAAACAGAATCGAATACAATTGATGTATTTTCACAACACACTAATCAACAACTTCAAAAATTATCAGACTTTCGAGAATTCTTCCCAACCCCATGTAGAGAATCAGAGACCAAGATCAATATCTTCCATCTTCTCTCATCTGTTTTGAATCGAATCTCATTAGATATTGATTACCCTTTGTCATTTCAAATCGAATCCCTCGAGAATCCGAATTGGGAACGAAATCGAAACTACTTAGATTTTCGAAAATCATCGGGAATCAGAATTGGAATACATTTTATCTTTTTGCGTTCTCCCATCGAATCGCGAAACCATCCCATGGAGAAATCAGAATCACACTCGGAATTTTTTTTCTGTTTTTTATTTTTTATCGAATCCCATTCCCGATCGAATCCATTGACTCTGATCGGGAATCCGGATAGAAGATATGAATAGAATTGATTTCATAGATTTTATTTGTGGTATTCCGATTCATTGATAAATCAGATGCACCACCTAGATCGATCCAACCCACTGATTATGATTTTCCACCATGAATCGGATTGATTTTTTAGAGTTTTTGAATAGGATTATGAGATTTGATTTATCAAAATAGATACGATACCCTTCCAATATGGCCCAAACTCGATTTCCCAGATTTTCCATAAGAAATCCCATGAACACGAACCCCCAGAACGAGATACCTTGAATCGAATCGACAGACAAGATTTCTCTTCAGGATTTATTTCCAAAAAATTATTATCGACTTCCCCTGCTTTTGATTTCGATTTTTAATCATGAATTCTGATTGGCCTGTCATATTACGAGAAATAATTGATTAGATTGCGAACACGATGTCGAAATCGATAGAGAATTTTCATGATCATCAGGTCCAACCCGAAGATTTTCAGAGAATCAAATTCAATTTCGGAGAAGAAACTGGGCCTACTCGAATTCACAGATGATTAGATATCATGGAGATTGTTGAGTGTGACTTGCCATCTGGCGTTTGTCGCCATTCTTCCGTGAATCGGGCCAAATCATCATGCATTTAGAAAGAACAAACGCTGACACTTCAGGCACAGGGAGCTGCCGTGCAGTAGATCCTCCTATCGTTGCGATTGCCACCCAGCCGCCTTTATCCTTGAAAAATAAAAGCGCATTCACACCCGAAAAAGAAATCAAAGGGTTGTATCGCTACAGTGCCGCTTGTAAAAGCTGCGTAGTGTTTGGGAGACGAAAAGGGAGGCGCATGCCTGCCCCATGCGGAGCGCATTTCTAGTGAGGTAAACGAAAAAAAATCCGTCTTGCTTGGCACGCGCTTAAAATAAGGCTTGCGTCACGTGAAAAACCGCAACAAAAATTCGCTTTCTCTCCACGAATGTACGTCTGAGGAAAACGAAAATCGGCGTCGTAGATGTAGTCTGTGCCACACCAATGCTCGCGCGGGTCTGGGTGCACACCCGGCTCTCACAGATCATGCTCAGGCTGACTCAGTGCGCGGCCGGCTTCCCACACCGTATCTGACGCGCGCTGGGCGGGAATGCTGGAAGCTTCACTTCAGGATGTTTCCCGGGGCGGGCAACGTCAGCCCGGGCGGAGAGATATGGGGGAAAGACGTAGCCGGGTCCAGGGGCCCCGCTGTGTACTCTACTGAGCTTGCCACAGTGGGCTGGAAACCCCAACGAGGGGGCTGAGGGGGCACGGTGTGGAAGCTGTCGCAAGTAGGCTAGCGGCGTAGGGTTATGCTGACCCCCTCTCCCCCGCCCTCCGCCACGCTGAGTAAGGGCGGCAGACTTGTCACGCACATCCGTGAGCCTAAATTGCCGGCTATGCGCTGCCGCAACAGAAGCGGTCTCTAGTCCTACCTGGGAGTTTGTCATGCTAGAATCAGGATACAAAATAGAGGTGGCTTGTTTGTGATGTGGCTGCAATGGCTCAGCCGGGTCGCAGTTGCATTGCGAGCCCGAACTTGTCACGCGCAACCGGCAAAGCCTCTTGGTTTGTCTTTGCAATAAAGTCCGCATGTTGGCTCGGGGGCGGCGGCGCGTAGACACAGAAGAAAAGCGAGCGGCGGATGGGCGAGGAATCGATGATTGACGACGCCGCGAGAAAAGGCGCTCGTAGTACACATTCAGGCACCATTCCCATCCCGGAAGAAAAAACGACAGAAACGAAATTTCTTGCTGAAGAAAGCCAAAAGAAAAACTAGTGTGATCTCCGACTGCATGAGCTTTTACGAGCGTAGCGCCCACATGTACCACTTCGACAAAACTGAAGTGATTGTTTACAATTAAGTGTGAACCCCGACGGTGTCATGTGCAAGCGTACTATTTGTGCGTGCTGGCTACGAAAGGCCGCAGTGACCTTTTACATCCTTCACGCGCAGTTGTGTTTTTTGGTACTATTTAATCGTTATTCACGAGCTAAATCGGGTCTGCGTGATGTTTTGTGACAAAAAATGAATCTAATGCCGACTCATAGTTTGCAGGAAAACTGCCGAAGGAGCCTGCAGGCTGCGCTTGCATTGCGCGTTTCTTCGTCATCGATCTATTCGTGAGACATACTGGAGCGACGACCGTCATTCGCACGGATCCCTTATTTCTAAGTTTGGGAACAGAGGCTGCACTGCCTGCGTTTTGCACTAAATACATCAGACAATAGCAAGGGACAACTGCGATATTTATCAGGCATTCCTGGTGTGGGGCTGACATTCTTAGTCTTGTTGCTTTTATGACTTTGGCAGAAGCCACAAGGACATGGCGCGGCCACCGCAAGCAAGGCGGGCATCGTGCGGCCGCCACACGCTAGGAAGGACGCGGGCCGCGCATACAAGGAAGGCGGCCATTGGCGCCTGCCACCGCGCGCACCCGCGCGGCCTGCGGTTTTTGGGCGGGACGCTAAAAAGGCGCCAGGGAATGCGCCACACCGCCACAACATCAGGGGGCGCGACCCAAAGTAAGACACGACGCGGCGCGGCGATGCCTGCTTGAAGGGCTACACCAGGCGCCAACGTTCGGGCCGGGCCACCCGAGAAAAGGCACACGCCCCAACAGGGGCGGGGCGGGGCGCGCAGGGGTTGGGCTGCCTCGCGCGCCTTTAGGGCGCGAAGGCAAGCAGATCCATCGCAGCAAATGGGGGCCGGGAATGCGGGCGCCGGACTCTTCGGCGCTGCGCGCTGGAGGTATAATCTCATACCCGGGGTTGGCGACGGCGAGCAGGCGGCCAGGAGGGCAGAACCGACCGGCGCGCGAGCTGTCGGCGACGGAAGCGGCTGCCGGGCGCAAGATGGTTGAGGGTGCGCCACCTCGCAGACCGCATCGGGATCCGCTCATTGTTGGTCGATACATACGACAGGAGGCAGCAGAAACGTGGATCAACCTAAAAGCGCACTGTAGTTGTGCTTTTTGCTTTTTGTCAAGGTCAAGGCATGTATAATCGATTTCCTCGGTTTGTTGAGACGAAGCAGAAAGGTGCTCTTCCCTGTCTTTGTATTAGCAAATCATGGTAGAAAATAAATCTGGCTTGCTTGATCAGCCGCTAACTGTGTCTGTGCGTCCGCTCCTTAGACACGCTCCTGCCCTTTCGAGGGTCTTGTATGTTTCTCGGTTTCTCATATTGTTAGAGACTTGCAGCTCGACCAACAATGAGCACTTCAGTCCACCGGAACTCGCACACGAACTGCACTGCCGGAAATGGTCTTTTGTGCGGTTCTGCGATACAGAATCGAACAACAAGGAGAGAAAAACATGAGCGACTCCGGGCAAGAGAGAATCGGCCGCCTGCACAACGCAACACCAAGAGGTTTTGGAACGAAAATCCTCTCAGCTCGCGGCTGAAGCGCATTTGCGGTAAGAAAATTTATTTCGATTTTCAGCCACAGTTTCGCGTTCTCAGTGATTCGCTTTTGTCATGGTTTGTTCGTTTGTTCGCACATGGGTCGACTCGCAAAAAATTATTTATCAAAGGTTCGTTAGATTTTACTGGAGGCGGAGCTGCACCTTCGCGGCTGGCATTTGCTGCACTTGACAAGGCAATAGTGACAATAGGAAAGTGCGATCTTCTCTGAGAGATCGCCACAAAGTAGAGCGACGTTTTCAAAAAGCCGATGAGTATTCCCTTCAGTTGCCACCTTCTTCGTTCTCCGGTCCCGGTACCAAAGGCGTTGGATTCGTGATGTTCGTGGAGAAGCAGGCAGGAGCAAGCTCCGCTTCCGGTTTCTGCATGATTGCCATCAGTGCCGCGCATTATGCGAAAGCAAAATGCCCCTGGGGCCAGATGTATTTTCGTTCGTAAATATTCATATGGCCAGTCGGGAGGCCGTTCTCGACAAGGGGATTAGTCGATGAGACGCCGCCGCCACTACAAGCCAATGCACATCAGTCGTAACGAGAATGACGACAAGGCCACCAGGGTTCATTTTCGTAGTTTCTCGTCGGATGTGAAGCCTAAGCGGGACTGGTAGATCTTCTGCATTTCGCTCGCCCTCAGCCGTTCCCGTGCGAAGTCAGGCAGCACACGGCAAGCCACTCTGCGTTTCGACAGGTTTGCAACATATCAACAGAAAAAGCGTGGCGCTGGCGATTCACATGGAGGTGTTTTTGCCATATTTTTGTCAAGATGCGTCGCTGTCAGAATTCTCGTCTAGGTGTTTTTTCTTGTCCAAGTAGAATGTAAATTGGTTCTCCTCATGCAAGTTCAAGTTGCAACGTCCACAATTTCACACAAGATACAATTTGCACCACTTCTTCTCGCGTGATGCAATCCGCTGTCGCTGATTCTTATGGAGAAGTGACAGAAGGTTCGCTCGCACGACTTGCCGGTTTGACATGTCATTGTCGTCGCCATTCAGGGGGCAGAGAGTACGTAGTGACATCTTGTCGGGCATGCAGGACACATTTACGAACACTATACTGATGTATGCAAACTGCGCAAACTGTACAGCATGCGTGCTCTGTAGAAATGATTTTGCGCCGCATGTCAAATCTGGTTTGCAGTGTCGGACAACATCTTGCTTTGATAGACCCGCTCCCAACAGGGACGTGACGAAGCCGAAACTCTTGTACGCGGCCACAGCTGCAATGGCGAGTACCAGTACCAAGGCTGGGATGATAAACCTGACTTTCATTGTAATTATCATAATAGCGCAACCTCCCACCTCCGAGCGCCAGAATGGGACGGCTACTACACGTTGGTCATGAATGAGTTCTTAGTTTTACGTCAACATGAAAAACATGAGCATCACACAATCGAGTTCAAAAAAAATCTACTGAATTAATACCATCGCCAGGAGTGCGCGGCCATCCGATTCCACCAGCTACAAACCTTTCTTCTGGCATAGTTTCCGAGGACCGCAATCACCAAGTGCATCTATGGTTTGCAAAATCATTTATCTGAGTCACACACGGGTTGGGAAAAGCAAAACAAGTTGCGTTGGAACGGCTACGGTGCATGAGAGATTTCGTGCAGTGTAAAATCGGAAATGCAGTTTGTCATGAGGACGAGAGAGTGTCTACTTACTAAAGAATCAGAAAAGGTGGTCTTTTGCACAGAATCGATACAATGGTTTTCCGCAGGCCACCACAGACACACAAATTGCGAGACATTGGGATGGCGAGTGAAGAATGTGTAATACTTCAAGGTCGCGCTGCCACCAGAGGAAACGGCCATGCTGCCGCACGTGACTCAGAGCTTCTTCAGCATCAGCATACGAAGACCTTTTCTTCCCGGCTTTCCATGTCGTCTGGTGCGCCATCACCGTCTTGGTCTTCTTGGCTGCGGTATGCATTGCAAATACTTCTGGGTCGGGAAGAACACTACAGCTTGTCAAGGTAACTCGGGATCGCACAAAAATCTGTGTTGCAAAAGCGCCAAAAGACAGCCACCCCTTGATACGCACAGTGCAAACTTCTCATGCGGATTAGGAATTACGAAGATCATCATTATCATCATGCGCAATCTGTGATGCTTGTGGGTGATTTTCAGATTCTCTGGTTGGTCCAGGAGATGCATGACAAACGAGTGCACGAGTCCAGGCCCAGAGATATTTACACTTGGTATGCCGAGAAGGTGCCTGAAGGCAATTTCCGATGCCAGGATGTCGATGAAGTCTTCGTTCCCGAGCAGGTACTGGCCTGTGTCGACCGCAACTCGTGTTGCATGCTCCGGGTCTTGCAGAAGTGCGTGAACTAGGGCGTCGGGCTATCAAAATGGAAAAAAAACCCGACCGATTCTATTCAAAGGGAAATTTCTGTTGCTGGATTTCTGTATACCATGTATTGCAGCAAAGGCTTGGAGGAGTTTTCTAAGGCCATTTGGAAGGTGTGCAGAACGCTACCAAGAATTAGGCACGCCAGAACGCTTTGCAAAAGTGGCCAAAAGCGCATCACAGATTTGCGGTGGAACGTAATACGTAGTTTTCAGTTGCCTAATGGGCAAGGCAAAGCTGCTTAGGCGTGTGGTTGTGGCCACGAACCAACATCACAAATTTTCGTTTTGAGTAGGTAGAGGCGGGATTTTTCCTCACGATACGGGAAGCGTCTTTTGGTCTGCCAAGGTTTCTACGTAAAATTGCACGACTTTTTGTTGAAAGGCGGGATTTTCCCGGAGCTGGAAAGCAACCAAACCCGCGACGTCTTCAGCCTGGCCGTCAGACAAGCGACCGGTGAGTCCAGGTTGTTTCTCCGCGAAGGTGCCCGCGAAGTCGCGACTCATGGCGACATAAAATTTTCGCGCCGACCTGACTGAATCCAGTCACCACTAGAAATGCGTCTGCAAGCCAGGATGTGTCCGCGTCCTAGTTGGCCCGGCACGGGTGTTTGCTTCTGCAGTGCCGGATTGCAAATCCTTACAGAAATAACAAGCAGCAGGGTACCGACCTACGACATATAACAAGCGGTGTGGATGACGGGATCTGGCTATTGTAACAAAAGATAGAAGAGTCGCCGCGCGCACCTTGTTTTAAGGGACGGCATCTCTCGCGATACAACAAGATGTGGGGCTGTCATGGTAAAGTTTTCTGCGCAACGCGCAAGTGATGAAATTAAATACGGTTCCACATCTCTTCAGAGCGGGGCGAATCTCTGCCTGATCTCGATGTTCGGCAAGTGAAACAAACACAAGCAAAAGCAAAAAGATCGAGATTATTTCGTGGCGAGAAGACACACGCTGGGTAGTAGGCCAAAAATGAAAATGCGTTATTTCAGATCTTCTCGCCTATTCGTCCGAGCCCCAACGACAGGGCCGAGACCTTTGAGAGGAGGGCGTCTCCAACGTCCAGAGCGGAGTAACGGGAACACATGCGTTCACTTCTAATGCTATTTGTAGTGTGATGCACGACTGAGCAGATCGGCGTCAGGTGCCCCCTCTCTAGGCACGCACAGGTTTTGAAAATACCAATGTGGTAGAAGATTAATTTCACTGTGTTTCAGAGGTCATCAAAGTTCAGGCACAAAAGGAGCTCTACATTTTGCGACTCGTTGCACTTCGTGCCGGGTTGGGGGCTGTCTTTCAGTAGTGTAGCGCGGGGCTGGTTCGAAACAAATTTGGCTGCTTAGAGGTAAGACGTGGGGCTGATGTTTCATAGGAGTAGCAGTAGTTGCTTGCGCGTGGGGCTTGTTCGCGCACGAGGAGATAGTAGCAGTAGTTACTCGTACTATAGTTGTTCGCTGCGGAAGTTTCAACCATTCACATTCTACAATGCACCAACATTTTGATCGGTCGGTGTCCGGAAACTATCAGTCTTTCAACGGTCGCCATTTCATTCTAGCGAACGAATAATTGCGTATTTCGGTTTCATAGCTCTCTCAGAAGCGGCCGCGCCCGATTTTACAACTCGCTGCATCAGCAAGGGGCTATAGTGAGAGATGGATTTCTCAATAAAAATCTCAGCAGTAGGTGATTCTCGATATTGATAGATGGATACTTTGCAAATGCTTGGCTGTTCATCTAGTATTTGTTAAGTAGTTGCGCTCAGTAGTAGTTGTTTGACATAGCAATCTCTGACCATCCCAGCAGGATCGACGTCACATCGCAACGCCACTACCCGACACCAGCTGCGGCACGGGACTCTGCAGGCGGCAGTCTTTCGCCGCGAGTAAATGCCGGCGCAGACGGCAGGTTTTGATGGTTTGGCGCCGCAATTTGAAAAACAGGTAATCTGCTGCAATATCGATAGCCGCGTCGAGTGCACCCTGGGCCTGCTGGACTTCCGCGACAGTGTGAAGTTCCTGATATTGTAGTATTGGTCATGAACGTACTTGGGCGCATCTGCTCACGCTTGGTTCATGTTGCACACAAAGACACTCCTAAAATGCGAACACCACGCTGCTGCAGGACCTAATTTATTCTGATCCACTTTCACTTTATACTTAAGCACGGGCAAAACAACGTAGTTTGTAAGCACTTACTTCATCGCGGGTTTCGGCGAGCCGGTCCAGAGCCGGGGCCACTTTTTGCTCAAACTCGAGCAACAGCGCCTCGTTTTGGTTTTCGCTGAAAACCTTATAGATGTCCGCCAAGTCTTGCTTTCCGCAGCACGTGAGGCACATGCGTTGCAGAGCGGATTGGTTCGTTTCCAAGTAGCTGAATCGCCGCTCGCAGGATTGGTGATGACTTGCAAATATTTCTGAGTCTGGATTTGTCATGCAGATGGGGGACTTCTTCAAAGACAACAAGATCTGTATTACGCATGAGTTTTACGATTGGCCATTTCTTTTGTCGTGCTGGATGGCTGCAGTTTGTGATGCCAAACAAGAAGCTGAGGAAAACATTTTATGCTGCGTATGCTCTGCATGCGTCCAACTTGCACTGCAGGTATCAGTAACACAAATGTCCAGACCCAGAGATATTTGCAATTCATATTGCTGGAGCTGGCCCAATCCTTTCTCCAGCCGGCCGACGGCCTGCTGCATAGTGGTCATGTCTGTCTCGACCTTCCTATCAACTGTAAAAGTGTCTGGGGCTGGAAGGTTCTGACACTTGTCATGCACGTTTTGCACAAGCCCTGATGTCTGTGATGCATGCCCTAGCATCACAGATTTTTTGAGAGCTTCTTGATGCCTATTTCGCATGACAAATGCCCTCTCCGCGTAGAAAAAATTTCATTCCTTTTGGTACTCATGCAATACAGATTTTTCTGGAATCCAAAACCAAATGCAGCGTCACAAGTTGCATCCTTTCAGACCCAGACACTTTTATCTTTGATACTTGCCCAGACGCGCCTTCAGACCCTCGATTTCGACTAGCACCTGGCGCAGCTCAGCTCCGCCGGTCGCCGTGGACTGCGGGGTGGACAGATCACTCTGCTCTCGGCTCTGCGGAAAAATTCCGGTGGACTCTTTGCTAAATTCCGTTCGGATTTGTTGCGGCGCGCGGGAACTGGCCAAGCCTGTCGTGCGTTTTTGTTCTTTATGAATTGTAATTGTTTATTTTCATGCGTCCCACTGAAAAACGTGTATCTGCTCTGCGCTCCCACTGAAAAAGTAAAAGAGGTATGCTTCCACATAAAGGTTTCTGCTCTGCGTTCATAATGAAAGTGCCGCCGTTCGTCCGGCAAAGGTGCATGATACGAGGAAAACTGACATTACCGGACTTGAGGTGCGAGCGCATCAAGTTGTTTGTCTTGGGCTTCTGCTGGTAGGAGGACGCGTTGTTCATCTTCGAGCAGTTCCGCAGGTACGGGTTGTCCGTGCAGTACGGGTTGTCGTTTCCTTCCATCATGGACGTCACACCCCGAGCACCGGGGTAGGCAAGTGCGTCGCGGTTACTGCCCGTGCCGGCACCTGGTATTCGAATACGAGAGATCGATGAGACGCACTTCTGAAATAGAGTACTTAAAACATGTTGTCCCTGAAGGGGTCATGTAGGAGGCGAATGTTCTGTCCTTTCTTTTTGGTGCGAAACTGTAGTTGCGCTTGCGCACACAAACAAGCATGATAATGGCAAAAGAAGAGTACGAAACATGTCACGGTCGTCGAAGGTCTGGAAACCGTCTTGGGCCGCTGGGGACGTAGCTGCGAAGACTTCCTCGGTCTTGTGGAGATGAAAGGACGGCCGATTGCTGCCCATCGCAGCGGCTCCTCCGTGGTTCTTATGGAAACAAAATATGGACCTGCTCTAACCGGGTTTGCAATGCCTCTCGACGCATTGCTAGAGAAATGAAAAACGCCACTTGCGCCATGATATACGACGGCGCTGCGGCTTTGTGCAAGTTCGTGAACTTGCTGCGTAAATCGGAAAATAGGTTGCGCCAAGACTGCAAAGTGGCATTGGGTCGAGAGCGTCGTATTTTGCGCCTGTGATAGCGGAAGGTCGTACGACGGGACATGTCGTTGTTGCCGTGCAAGCCATTATCTGTGGTCCGGGGAAGCACATCGCTCCGGGTCTCCGACTCCGACGGGATGCAACCTGTTATAGGGTTTTGACATGGTAGTGTCCAGTCATATAGTGTGGTGATGTGATACGCAATTGGTAAATATACACGCAAATCATGAACTTCATGCACTTTTTTGTATCCGAGCGATTTTCAGAGGGCCTCATCAATACCACCGAGCGCCGACGGTACGTTCGGCTCCACCACTTTTTGCCGTTGCTCTTGGTACGTAGCATTCGGGTCAATGCGTCTGACCCCCCGCGGTCTGCCCGCGGATTGATGATGGTAGGACGCCGTGCCGCGGTCCTGGCGCCGGCTTGCTACGCCGGCCGCAGGAGCAGATTCGTTCCAAAACATTCTCTTGGTTGGGCGTGTCCGCTTGTAAAATAAACAATCTGCTCTACTTGTGCTTTCAAGAATTCTAGAATAAATCTCGAATTGCGATTGTGCGGAAATCCGTTCTCCACAATTCATTTAGCTTTGCTCTACTATTTCGAAACAACGCTCTTCCCTCAACCTTCCGATGTGTGGGCGCACGTCGACAAGAAAGGTAAAATAACGCAGCGAAAATGCCTTTGGTAATCGATGTGGAGACATCGTCTCAATCTCAAGTGCAACTCGGTTCGGGCTGAACAATGGAATCGAGCCGACGAGTCGAGCGGGTTTGTGTTTGGCTGCTTATCAGACCCCGCTTTGTTTTCTTTGCGAGTGCCTGATTTACTTGCAGCTCTAACGGGTCGATCAGTCACTGTCGATGTGAGTGTAACAATAGACCAAGCGCAAAATTCCAAGCGAATACGGGAGACGATACGCGCTGGAGCAAGAAAAACCCCTTGCAGAATCAAATGTAACGCTAGGCCCTTTTTTAGGATAGCATATAAAGGATCAAAATTCCCGATACCTGCTAGGGCAACGGAGCTTGTAGGTGTGTCGAAGTCGGAATACTATACGCAAAACCTACTGCACGAAAGCCGCGCACTTCGCTACTTACTTTTCTGTGGCTTTGCATTCGAAGTTGCGATCCGCGTGGCGACCCCACGTCACTGGGAAATTCCTGTCAGCGAGAAACTTTCCTTGCGCTGAGGCTGTCTTCTGTCCAGTGCCTCTTTGTCTTTGCCACCTCAGTCAACGCGCTTTGGTCTAGCAGGCCTGGTCGGGTAGGAGCTTCCCACATTTTCGTCGCGTCTTCTCGTCCAGATTCGTGCCAGTGATCGATGCACGAAGCCGTTTTTCCAACAGACATCAGCGGAGGCCCTCACGACGCAGAGTCGCTCGCCACAGCTACCTACTTTTTCCACCAGCAAGCTCGACTGTGCCAGCGGGCCTGGTGTCCAGCTTCCTTGAAGCTTGTCAAAGCGCGTTCACCCAATGGTCGTCTTCGCGCGACTCTGCAGTCCCCAGCAATAAGAAACTCCTGTCGAAATTTTTCTGACGCCTCGGTATTGTCCAGCATACGCTTCATCTCATTTGCCGTTGTTTTTGCGCTACAGGATATGATCGGTCTGCACAAAATGGCGGGCGAAAAGCGCGCCTGACCTTGACAGACGTCTTCTTTGTTTTCGCTCCACCAGTTCTGCGTCCAGAAGCGGGATTCGAGGTGCCAACGTGGAGATTTTATGGCGCAAAGCTTATATCAACTTCGGCGTCAGAGCCGGAGCGGCACTCGGGTAGCAGGAGGAACTACGTACAAGCGGCATCCTGTTCTTCGTCACTCATCTTTGTTTTGCGATTCTACTACTCTGATTCGTCGACGAAAGTAAGCGTACGAAGATGCAGGCGAACAAAGCAAAATGAATTGTGGAATGTGATGGATGAGTTAAAAGCTCAAAACTAGAATAAGAGATCAGCGTCCTCCTCGTCGTCGTCGATTTTCAGCAAGTACTATTGTGGCAGATCTGAGATCTCGACTTCATATGCGTTTCATGGTTGAGAGTTCTTTGCATCACCAGCCCCAACGTTGAGATCCAATTCATTGCGCATTGTGAGTAGGTACATAATATATAAATCGAACTGAACCAGGGAAGCGAAACGGAACCTTCAGACACGAAAAAGCCAAGATGCAACATAAAAGACGTGAGCCCCTTCGACTTGCGCGGGAGGATTTGCCAGTGGCTTGCGGCCAATCTGCTGCGGGCCCTCACCAGGCCCCCACATAGTCGACTGCTCTTCGGATATATAACAAAGTGGCAGAAGGTAGTTTTCGATAACATGTGCATTATGTATTTTTATGTAGCTCCTGTGATTTGTTTCCGTTTCATCATGGTGCTCCTTGCCAGGTTTTTATTTCAAACAGCCCTTTGCGCTGAATGGCAATTGATCAATTGCATTTATTGTCCACTGGCAGCACGCAGCTCGTTCAATGTGTTATCGTAGCCCAAGTTCGTTTATCTATGGATTTCGCTATCGTAGCCCAAATCATTTTTGTGTATATGTGTTCAACTTACTCAATATCAGCCCTGTACTTGTACATCATCTGTTTTTGTTTTCGTTAGATTTGCTTGGTATTTTTTTCGACGGTAGTTTTTTCTTGTGGCAATAGTAGTACTACATTCGAAATTTTTCCTCAGTAAAGAAACAAATGAAAATCACCGCGTTGTGTCCCGCACCCCAGTGGCCTCCTTACTGGTTCTGCAGCTATGAAGTGCGTGCGTGTCGGAGTCGGGGCATGGAAAAGTGCATATCAGCCACTGCGGCCCCTAGCTCTTTACGCCCCACCAGCAGCGTCACAGATACTGCAGCCGACAGCGGCCTACCGCTTGACTGCGTCCTGGCTCATGACAAATCGAACGACATCTCGTTGTCTCGTCCGCTTCATGCATAAAAGTATTTCTGTATTTCATTTGTACTTCTGCGCATCTTCACAGCTCCACAACCTCTCCCAAGACACCGACATAGTTCGCATTCGATAGCTCCGGCGCCTCTTGATGCCCTGCGGGAGCTTCTTGGTCGTCGTGGTGCCGTTCTTCTCCCCATCCTCAATCGGACTGTCCGAGTTCTCCAGAGACTCCCGGATGTTTTGCACGGCGTCATGGTATATCAAATGTAAAAATGTCTGGGTCTGGAATGTTGCCGGGTTTGTCATGCATATTTTGCATGATGTCTGTTATGCATGAACTTGCTGAACCTCCCTGATGCCTATTGCGCATGACAAACGCCCTCCCTGCGTAGCACGAAATGGAGTCCTCTTGCTGGCCATGCAATACAAATCTTTTTGGAATCCAGAGACAGCGTCACAAGTCAGAATCTTCCAGACCCAGACACTTTTGCATTTGATATGGTAGCGGCCTTTCGTCGTAGTGCTCGCGACGGTGGTGGCGAAGGGGGTAAGTGTATGGGAAGCAAAATGGCTGCCTTTCTTCACTAAGAGCTGGAGCTGGGCCTGGTCCTTTCTTCATCAACGCAGAACAAGCAGGACTTGGTCCTCTTGCTTTGAGTAAAGCATTGCAATGCAATAAAGTCCACTCGTGTACTGTAAGGCGAGTCTCTCAGCGTCAACTTCGCATCACCTCCTCCCAGAGCTCGGCTAGGTAGTTCTCATGATGAAAGTCAACTTTTTTCAACTCCTAGAAGTTCCCATGCTTCCCGCAAAAGTCCACGATGTTCGTTTTGTTGGCGCTGGTCAGGCAGAGTGGACACGAGGAGTTCAGCCCGATGGTAAAGTTCCCGCACTCTTTGCCGCCGACAGAGGTGCTACTACTGCAGGCGCCATTGGAGGCGGTTCTCGAATGGTTTATCTGTGAAAGGGTTTCAGTCTAATGAAGAGCGCGCAAAATTGCATGCCACAAATATGCTCGTCCTGCTACGGAAGTATCGAGTCCTGCATTGCAAATTGCTAAAATGTCGACCAGCATTTAAGTGACGCGCGCGCTTACGTGAGTATGAGCTAAGTGTTGCAAAAGAGCGCAGTTTCTTTTAGTTGTTGCTTGCCACAGAACAAAACTTCTGCTCTAGGAAGGCCACAGAAAGCATCTAACTACATGCACAGATGAAGAAGATTAGGAGTCAAAGCGTACCATCTCCAGGGACAAGCTCTGCTGCACCTGCGGCATTGTCGCGCTCGAGAAACAAGTTCGCGGAAGTCCGGTGGTCGGGTCCGTTCCTGCGCCCGCCGCCGTAGCACACGCACCTCCCGGGGCGGTCGAGTTCCCAGCGTATCCATCCGGAACCTCGAAACAAATTCGAATGCTGATCAATTGTGTCTGCCGTCTCTGAATAGAAAGCCCAAAGGAGTGCGCGAGGCTTTCCCTCTTAGTTACTCAGACGCGCCTCGGCCATGCAGAGAAAGATTCACAAAGGGTTGCCTGATTTGGTTCGAGGCTTCGAATGGATACAGTTTGCGGAACCGCCGCCGCAGCTTGGATCTGGTCGTAGTACGAAAATGCCACGATCGTCGCGCCGATAACCCCGAGTATGAGTGCGGCGCTGACCAGCCCTGCTACGGTGAGCGGCGTGCACCTGCTATCCTCAGCAAAAACTTCTCTGCCCCATAGCCGACTTCGGACCTCTACATAATCACAAAGACAGAAATTGCGGGAGTCACCACGCATCACAATTCATCCTCTGGCTTTTTGTAGTGCAGGTTAGCAAGGAAAGCCGCATCACAAATCCGTCGCCTTATCCTGTTTAAGCATTACAAATGCCAGAACTCGACTGGAAATGACTGTCATGGGGATGCGGATTACGAGTCTTATTGCCTTTGCAAATCTGCATAACAACTTTGGGGCGGGGAAGTTTTTCCTCAGGATGCTTGCGCTGCGATTCTTTTCTCGTTGTTGCGAGACGATCCTCCAGTTCGGGAATCTTAGTGCCGTTCTTTGCATCTCTCACCTCCTGCTTCAGCGCCTTCAGCTGGGCGGCTCTTATGTTCGTGTAGTTGTTTTCCCACTCTTTTTGCGCGTCAGTGAGCTTCGGCGGTGGACCCGGACGCAAGGTATGCAGACGACACGCACTGGCTTAGCAGTTACGAGACCCGCCGGGCCATGTTTTCTTTCTTCGTGATGACAAACGGCCCAGCACAAGGCTGGGTTTTCTGACCGAAACACAGAAAAAACAGCGGGAAGACGATCAATCCCTGCCCATATTCATTTATCGACCCGCTGCAAATATGTCCGGATCTGGGAAATTGCGAGACTTGTCATGCTAGTCTGGCCCCTTGCTTGACATGCAGGCGCGCCGCTTCTCATACGGAATACACAACACAAAAACACTAAAAAATACGCTATGACTGGCGGCGCACTACAGTGCGTCTATTAGTCAGTGACCTGCGTCACAACATTCCAGACACAGACATATTCGCAACCCATATTACTCCACAAGCGGCACTAGGGTCAGTCAGTAGCCATCACGAAGCCAGCCGACGACTATGATCCGTCGGCGCCGGTAGGTGGCGCAGGAAAATAGTGGCCAGGCGTTCAGAGTGCAAAGCCTCGACGCAAATGCAACCAGCGCGCTCTCGTCTGGTACGTGCCCAGGTCCTTGACCTCCTGGTCGTAGTCTCTTCTGGGCCTGTGCGCGGGGTTGCTGTGTGCTGTTTCCGGTGCTCGCAGTGTGTCCTTCACGCCTTTGGCCAGCTTCTTCATAGCTGTGGCCATTTTCGTCGAAGAAGAAACTGAGGCCATTTTTACGGTTCTCATCGCGAGGCGCCTCAGTTGCTTACTAGTGTTGAGGATGTTTGTGCTGCCGGGATTGAGCTAGTGGCAGGCAAGTGGCCCCGCCTGGCGTTCTCCGGGGGGACCCGGGCAGGCCTTGGCCTCAGCTCTCTCACTTTGCCGCGCGTGTCTCGGCGCGGGCCTTCTCTCTTTGGGGACAGGCGAAACACGCACACACGTGCGCCCACACAACAATGCTGCGCGCTGAGTACTAGTGGGGCCGGCCTGCTGCCGCTTTCTACATGCTGGCAAGGCCCCCACGCTGGTGGGGCCTAGGGTGGCGACGCAATGCAGGGAAGCCACTGGCGGCCCACTCGGCACGGCTGCAGTTGCCTGCGGAGAAGGCCGCCGCACAGGGGGAAGGCGCCTGGCCACGTGGGCGCGCCCCAAAATCTGAAGCAGGAAAGCCACAGACCCAACACGAAAAAACGCGAAGCCCAAAAACGGCGAAAACGTAGCAAAACAAAAGGCCGCGGGCCCGGCCACGTTTCGAAGGGTGGGGAACCGAAACAAGAAACACACGCAAAGAAAGCCCACAAAGCTGCGAAACAAGCGGAGGCCCGGGAAGGCGCACGGGGCAGGGGCCTCGCCACGAAAGCAGGCACCAAAACCAGGAGCACGGGGGCAGCAACTTCCGCACGAGGGGGCACCGGCCCGCAAAACCAAAAAAGCAGCAGAAAACGCACGAACGAGCGAACGCAGGAAGAAGGCCGCAGGCCTGGCCGCGTTTCGGCAGATGGAGAACGAACAGAGCGCCGCGCGCAGGGCGCCAGGGTTCGCATGGCTACGAAATAAGAAAAACCACGAGAGGGCGCCGCGGGGAGAGAACCCGCCAGAAAGGAAGTTGCCAAAACCCGGAACACAAGAGACGCAACGCGCGCCAACACGAGAAAAAGCGCGCGAAGCCGAAAAACGGCAGGAATTTGACAAGACAGGCTCTGCAGAAAGTCCGCGGGCGTGGCCGCATTTCGGCAGACGGAGAAGAAGAAAACTGCGCGCGCAGAGAGTTCAAAGGGCGACAAAACAAACAAAAACCACGAGAAACCGCACGGGAGAGAGATCCCGCCAAGAAAGAAGACGCCAAAACCCGGAACACAAAAGCGGCAACA